CGAGGGGAGGAGGGTGGACGACAGGAGGCTGAAGCTGGGACCCCGAGCCCAGGGCTCTCCCAGTCACCGGACAACTCCCCAAAGGGACAGTGGGAGAGCGGCTGTGGGACAAGTCACAGGAAAAGAACCTCAGCCACCCGGGAGCCCAAGGCCCAAGGGAGGCGAGTGTGGTAGATTCTCACACGCAGGCAGGCCCGTCCTGCCGTGGCCCTGCTGGGAAGTTCCCAGGGCCCGGAGACCATCTGCCGCCCAGGCAGCCCTCACTGGACAGGAAGCACTCTGGGAACGGTCCCTTCTCCAAGTGGGTGGACACTGCACACCCGAACCTCCTGGGCCCTCGGCGCATGCACACAGGGCCCTGCCAAGTTCCATCTCAGCTGCTGCCTGCCTGAATCCCACTCCTGCCTAACGGCCAAGGCACCCAGGACTGGCTCTCCCCGACTGTTGCACACACCCCTAATGGCCTCCCTCAAGCCATGATTAGGCTTGTCACTGAGACTTGGCCCCGATGGGGTTTGGCCCCAGGCCCAACTCACTCCATGGCCCAACTCTCCTTTCACACACAGCCAGCCGTTGCCACCCTGAGCCCGGTGCTGTGACCTTTACTGAGTGCCTCCCTGGTGGGAGAGGCTGTCACACCCAAACAGGCAGCTCCTCTCACTCCCCAGGGCACTAAAATCCCACCCCAGAAGCCTACAGAAACCCCGGTGCGTCCAGCCTCGGGGCGTGAAGGATCAGTTGGTGGACCCTCTTCCCCTCCCAGAGCCTCACACTCCCTGCCAGCAGCTCAAAAGCTCAGACTTGAGGACAAATTGCTATTTTAGTCATTTGTGGCATCAAACAAGAAGCAAATGTTCAAGGACACGCAGTCCTGCAGCAAAGCTGGAGGCTACGAGCCCACTGGCGCCCCTTGATGCACTGTCTGGGCCGCAGCTTCCTTACGCTGTTCCCATTTTAGAGGTGGGGAAGCTGAGGCACACCGGGTTCAAGGGACGTCAGGTTCTCACAGCAGTGTGGCCCCACAGGCTCATGCCCGCCCACATCTGCCCTTTGCTGCCTGCCATGCTGCCCACAGCATCCCCCAGCGCCTGAGACCTGTGTGTTCCAGCCCCAAACCCAAAAAGGAGGGAGGCCAAAGGCCACAGGACGAGGACTGTAGAGTCCAAACTGTTTCTTACCCAGCTTTAAGAATCCCATGCTGGAGCCAGGCGTGGTAGCGTGTGCCTGTAGTTCCAGCTACTCAGAAGGCTGAGGCGGAAGGATCGCCGGAGCCCAGCAGGTCGAGGTTGCGGTGG